CTATACTGTATAGAGTTGTTAACATTATTTTCCGCGCTTTCTTGGAGATTGACTCCCCCCAAAAGGAAAGATTTCGACTCTCTAAAAAATGTATTCGTAGTGCTAAATGAATCACTGAGTAATATTTTGTTATTACAATGTGTCAGGGCGATACGTTGAGTGCTAAAAGTCCCTTTGGGAGGTTTACTCTCTTTAATCTTGATTTCCAATTTTGCTTATTTCTTCAGTTGAATCATAGTGTTTCCCTGAAAGATAGAGTAAGTCGGAGGTGGTTCACCTTGTTGTAGTAATCTCAACTTTTACAGTTTAGTTTGGAAGGTGTCCCAGTAATCCAATTTCTCTGACCCGAAGTCGATTCCCGAATGATTCGTCCTTGTTCGGTAGACATGGTAGATGGAATAATCTTTGATACTAAGTGTGGAATAAATGACACCCCACTCCAGTAAATACAATCCTACTAGAGGTGTCACTTTTTTAGGATTGGGGAGGGGTGCGGAAAAGTATTTATCAAAAATCTTATACTTTTAGCAGAGGGTAATGATAGTATTCAACGCTTTATTTCTTCCGGAAATACACTCTGTCTCCAGCTGCTAACATAATAACGATTGTGACGATGGTGATGATTATATCATCATCATCACCAAACTCATCATTATCATCACCGTCCTCATCATCGCCATCATCAACAATAACTTTATGATGTAAATGGGAGCGACGCCCTGGGACAACGTATGTTAAAGCTTTTGTGTTTCAGAAATGCACGGTCGTCTTCAAGTCTGTTGTGCTTTGTCGGGCTTTTAAGAGAAGAGTCTGTTGAAAGTGTGTGGTTAAAAGTTGTTTCCGTCTCCGAGACGTATGTGAAATGTACATCACGTAGTTGTTATTTTTATCCAAAATACAAGTTAGTCACATTCTCCAGAGTACACCGGTTGTCAGACTATGTTATCTACCTCGTCGTACCTAAGATGGGCAGACCTTCGAATTAAGAGTCCTGCCCACAGAGGGAAGGAAGACGACAAATTATGTTTGTGGAGACGTTTCTTGTGAGTCATAAGAAAATGACGTTGGTGCATATCCATAAAAACCCTACCAGGGTCGCCGAATTGATCAAGTTTTCGTTATGGCAGCAACCAACCTCTCAGCATTGGTTGTTCTATTTGTTGTGCGCCCTTGGCAACAGGCAAGACGATTTCTTTAGCGGTTATGCTTCCTCTGCGAACCCTCTCCTGTGTGTCCTACTCGCAATGTATGTGTGACTTGTGTGACTTGATGGACTTGGCTGGTTCAAGTGCTTCGGTTTAAGCAACCTAATATGGGCATAGTAACCAATGACAGACTTGAACCATAAACCAGCTTCCATAGTTAAGTTCGAATATTCGTCATTGTCTTATGCTCTCTTATGTGCGTTAATCAGTGGCAGTCGGATTTCTTTTTTTCTAATACACATGTTATATTCTAGATTCTTGCAGTGGCATTCCTATTAATAATTTATGAGACCAATAGTCTTTTAATATCAGATTCATGGATCTTGTGACTTGACTTAAACTCTCCACTTACATCAAGAGGAAAGCTAGGGACAGATCTACACGAGATGTATAATGATGATATTGGTAATGACTATTTGTTAACTCGACAGGAAATTAGATCGAGCATATAAAGGCAACATTCGTTTTAGTCTTCACATGAGCAATACTGGGATTGAAGACGAAATTGGGTTGATCAGTTGCGGTTAGGGAAAGGATAATTTTAGAAACATGCAAAGCGTCTCATCCTCATGCCAACTTTTACGAACGTCATACGTGGTTGATTTTGTATACAGTAGATGAATATTCTTATGGCAATAATGCTTCCCAGTTCCTTCCCAACAAAGGGTACTCATTTAACGGTACGTGTAAGTGATGTTAAGTTAGCTTAGGCACAACATAACCTTCCTTACTTGGAAATCGATTGCCCTCGGTGAGTCAGAGGCTCTTTCGAGAACTGAAAAGAAAATCCCTAAATTCGAGTGAAGATGTGACAGGAATTGACAAAAAGAGAGTAAAAAGGGGTAAGCAGATCGATGACGAGATGAGTCGATGAGAAAAAAAGGGAGCCCCGTCGAAGCACGAAGTTTAGGGTTATGACGAGTATCTTTGCCAGGGTACTGGCTGGTTTCTCCGAAATGTGTAAGCTAAGGAACCATCCCAAAATTGTCTTGTCTCTGTAACGTTACTATGTTGGCTTAAAGATCTTATCATCGCACTTCCTCACCCCCTCCATCAGAATTGCGAGGATTAGAATCTGGTGATCAATTAGTTGAAGTCAGAAAAAGAGTGAGCTTTATGGAGAGGCCATTATTACGTGCACAGATTATACTATAAAGAATCGAAAGAGCGGCATGCTATTGCCAAGATTGCAGATGCTGCAAGATGATGTTGCGAGTCACAAAGATGCAAAGGAAAAAAACTCGAGGAGATCGAGGCTTTCTCGATTTTTGGACTTACTCCAAATTCTGACTGTCTACACTACAGCAGAGTTTGTCTCGTGGCCGAGCTGGCTACTACGATGAGTTCACATCCGCCAGAAACAAGGTGGATTCCTTTTTAGAAATGTTAAGGGGGAGACGAGATGAAAGCTCTTTAGATATTGCTTTGTAAGGAAATCCCTCGCCCTTGACATGCAAATAACCCTGTGAGTTTGTGAGAGCCTTAGTATTTGTAAAACGTCGTTCATCGTTCGTTAGCTAGAATTTCCGGAAAGTTGAACTTCTAAATAGCTGGAGAGAAGAAGCGATTCCCTCCTACGCAGATTTACCGCTGTCAGACTTCTTTTCTTCTTCTTGAAGAGGTAGCATCTTCATCCAAATATCAATCTATCATCATCACGGTAACTATCATCAGCTTCATCGTCATCAGTGGCGTTTTCGTCACTGTTGGTCGTCAAAATACAGACACGATAACGTTTATGCATTTACCAAACATTAAACTTCGTCATCATCCGCGTCAGCTTGTTAAAATGAAATGTGATTGTCTTGGTTCAACAAACAAATCTTACTCGGATGAAGGCGCCAGTGCCAAGTCACCGAAATAGCTCTAGCTCTAGTTAAAGTTATAGTACAATTAAAACCATAACTATAACCCTAACTGTAAATATAACTAGAAATGTAAATATAACTAACTGGTCTTTGAAGTTTGTGAAAAGGTATGGATATCACCGGTTAATACTTATGAGCCTTTAGTACCGATTTTCTTGGATCTAATATGTTATCCTATAACGATTTCATAGTTATGATTATGGTCATGATATTGAGCCGGCCCCCTAAACGCCTACTACCCAGCTTTGCTTTCTGAAAATCTGGCGTGTTTATTCAAAAGTTTCTGTCCAATTTAACATCGTCACAAGTCCTTGAACGCATGAAGGGTGCGATCCATGCTCCACCTAGTCCCATCTCTCATCGACCTACCGTACATTCTCCCGGGCCAGCGAAAGGAATCGAGGGGATATCCAAGCTTTAGATTCTCTCCCGGGCCAGTAGCGGGGGGACTGCCATCAGCGGTTAGGCAGCGTGACTCACTCCATGGCGGCGCTTCGTGGTCGGCGTCAGAACGCTGTATGTGTGACATTTGAATTTTTGAGATGATGTCTCGTCTTGCAGATGCAAAGAGACGTTAGACTGGCGTTAGACGGGAGAGTCACTGTTGCAAATGTTACGATTGAAACTATGTAGAGAGAAGTGAAAACAAATGCAATGTAAAATTACAGAAAGAAGAAAATTAATAGAGAATAAAGGAGAAAAAATTAAACAAAATACTATGAAAGTGAGGCGATTTAAAAAATCTTATTCACTGTTAAAAGAGAGATATACGCACCCATTACAGCGCTCGAGCTTTTTAAGGAATTTATTCCTGCCAGGTACCCATTTACCTCACCTGGGTAGAGTGTGGCAACTGTAGATTAATGTCTCGCCCAAAGTACTGCGACAGATATATCTAGCCCTATCTAAGAGAGAAACATTGGGTGATATTCAGAAATACAAAGAGAATATCTATGTACTCTATCGGTCAAAAAGTGGAGAAGTATGATTATGATAAAGATCAAACGACTTTTTGCTAGTGAAAACGGTACTTACGATGTTCTTGCTCGCATGATCCAGGTGTGAGCTTGTCTAGATAGATGCGTGCTAGTTAAAGACTTCCCATTAGCAATGACTAGAACATATCTCACAGAAGAAACACAACTTGCGAGATATCAATGTTCGCTGACTAACTAGTTCCTGATGGCGGTATACTCGGTGATAACTCGTCCGGTAAGGGTTAGATTGCCAAAAGATAGCCTCTGCTAAGACCCTTTCTGTGTTTGTGGATGAAAACCTGTGAGGACACTGGAAACATATTAGCGATCATATTACAAAGACAAACATCTATTGACGGTTGCTAAGCAAATTAACGACAATGCTCAACTCTTCAAAGAATATTGTTTGATTATAGGACCAGCGCTTAGGCGTTGTTAAAGAAAACTTTTAAGAATTACAGGTACTTAATCGGAACTTGAGACAACATGAAACATGGATTAATTTTGAAAAAGTATGGACGCTTTCAAGAGGTCTATGATAAATATGGTTGATATCGTGATTCAAAAGTCACAGTAGTGTGTTCTCATGAGGAAATTCGACCCCATTCGGGTGTTAGCCCAATAAAAGGTGATGTCAATCACCAAGAATGGTCTTCATTTTTAGACCGATAGGTCTTTTGTAATGCACTGTGTGCCCTGAACCTAGAGCCATACGGAATTCTTATCATAATAAGATTTCCCTCATTCTCAAGATAATATGGCAAGTTGGAGTGTTTCCCGGTGGGACAACGGGCTAGCTGCCCGAGATACCTGTGCACCCATCAATCGGAAATTCAACCAAATTTGGTGTCAGCGAATTATGATGCAATACACATGGAAACTGACTACTATGTGGCAGAAATATTAACGTAAATGTTTTTTTCTTCTTCTCCTTCTTCTCTAATTTGCAGACCACCGATCAGGAGAGATGTACGCAGGTACTGATGGACCGGACCGGAAGAAAGGTCACCAGAACGGTCATGCTAACCCGGTCAGCAACGGACCAAACTCCCCACAGAGTCCAGCGGCCCAAATGAACTTTGAAAACGGTAAGCACCGGTCAACCCTCGTCTACAAACACATACTTTAATTTGACACTTTACCTCAATTCCTAAAACCTTGAGCAGAGCCTAGATTGACGGTCTCTCGCTGTATCAAATATGAGGAGCTGCTAAAGGACAGAGCATATCGTAGTCTCAAAATGCAGGCACGGTCTCAAGGTGCCATATACTCAGTTAACTTGAACCATGATTGCAGATTAAGTTTAAAAGTCAATCCAAATTATATGCAAAGATTGTTACCCCTTCTCAATCTACAGAGGTTGGAGAGACCCCATTACAGCGTGTGCAGTTCTTGTTGGGTGGTGATGGAGAGGGTCGTCAGAAGGACACTCCACCAGTCTACTCTGAAATGGAAGAGTTGTTTTATGATAAAGAGGGTCGTTTACTCGAATGGAAAGAAACTGCAAGGTGAGCTTCTATCCCCATAATGATGATAACAGTAGATTTAATATCTTTATAATGAGGACAACAAATGTAGTAGAGGACCCAATACAAGATAACAATTATGATAAAATCCCACCCTCTTCAACATGCGGCCAGCCATTATGAACATAATAGGGCTTGGCGGTTATGTACAGTCAAGCCACCATTTTACTCAAACTTACATCCATCTTTTGTTCAATCTTTTATCTATTATTTTCCACATAAAGGGGAAGGGTATGTTGCGGCTCTACGCTCATTAAACATGAATATATGCACATCGTCTCACCAATTAAGAATATATCATTTTCTCCCTTTTTTGCTATTCCTTTCGACAAATCACCAATTATCTTCCCTCTACACTCCATTTCTTTGTCACCCCTCTCTCTCTCTCTCTCTATCTATCTCTTTCCTTCTCTCTTTCTCTCTATCTCTCTGTCTCTCTGTCTCTCTTGATCTCTCTGTCTATCTTTATCTCTCTCCTCTCTCTCACCTCTCTCTCTCTCTCTCTCTCTCTCACCTCTCTCTCTTCGTAGATGGGTGAAGTACGAGGAGAACGTCGAGCACGGGGCCGGCCGTTGGAGTAAGCCTCACGTCGCCACCCTATCCCTTCACAGTCTCTTCGAGCTCAGGAAGTTCATCAGGAACGGTGGGGTCCAACTCGACATGGTGGCAGACGATCTGGAACAAATCATTGGTATGTCTTCAAAATGACAACATTTTAGTCTCAATTTTAGGTTAAGGCATGTATCGGGTGGAATTATAGCCAATGAAACATTTGAGGCTACCCTTGTCAGAAAATGGAACACTATTTAAATGTCTGTCAAAATTATTCTTACATTTCACAACATATATTATAGGCATGTAGATAGTAGGGGTCGACCTGTTGATGTTTTGGATTTATGTCCAGTTGAGTACGGTCAGAGTGCTGTATAATTGTTCTATTAACCCTGTTTGAACCAATTTCGAAACGCAAACAGATTTTAATCTAACTTTATGTTGGTGTCGCTGCTTCTTTTTTTTCGTCACCGTTTACACCATCACCATCTTTTGTTGCTCCCTAAATTTGTTCAGATCTCGCACTGGACAACCTGGTTGCCACAAACGTCTTGGAGGAGGACCAGCGAATCATCGCTCGCGAAGCTCTCCTTACCCGTCATCGTCACCACAAACAGAAGAAGAAGAAGGAGCCCGAAAACAAAGCCTACAACAAAGGTCGCAGAAAAAGCAGCATGTTCCCGGGTATGGACCGCGCCATGTCCGATATCGGCCGCAGCCAATCCACCGGAAACAACACAGTCAGCATGGAACAAGGTACGTGAAGCGGTTTCTTTGCGGTTACTATGCGGTCAAAGACGGTCACATTTTGATCATAAGAGCAGTTTGTGTATGATACAGTTTTAGTTATCATTTTGTAAACCTTAATACATTTCGGCTAAGACTAAATAACATAAATAAATATGAACACCATTGATACATGATACATTTTCACTGCGAATGATTGTCATAATGTAATTGAACATACCCATTTATACAATTCAAGACAGAAAGAGTATAGAATGTGAAAAGTGAAAATCGCAAATTTTCTCGTACTTTGCAGAAGCACAAGAAAAGGATGGAGAGATGAGGAAAAACTCAAGCGCCAATGCTCTGTCGAAGATGCCCGATGGCGCCCGAACCGAGAGCCGAGGGTCTGTCGGCAGAGTCGGCACATCGGACAGCCTCGATCAGAAGGAGAAAGAGGTTAAGAATGAGAAGGTAAGACGATTGATCAGGTCATCATCTAATTATATTTGTCATAATAATGATGAATTAAGTAAGTGGGAACCAGTTTCAATAATTCATTCTCCGTCGATTAAAGCTCTGCGGTCAATCTTCTATAATAGTCCTTACCGAATCCTGACGTAATTCCTGAACATTAGCTAAAACCCCACTGCAACTATAACCCTAACCGTATTTCTTTGACATGATAACGCCCAAAAGCCCGAAGCAAATAATGTTGCAGTAGTAAATGTCAGGTCAGTGTTACTACATGTAATCATGGTTAAATTATTTCGTTCGATATTTCCACACTTTCACATATCTTCCTCAAAATTGTTTCAAGGATAAACATATTTGAAAAGACGGTGAAGAGGATTTATTTGACTGAAATCAACAATGCATTTCAAGAATATTCAACAAATTCATAGTCAATAGGAAACATTGCTGTAATCCAATAAATGCCTATCGACTGGGGTGTCCTCCTGACTCCTCCATCCCATAAGACCCCAGTATTGATAACCTGATGACTCTTTATCCAACCTGAACAGGCGAAGTTCCTTCGTAAGATCCCAGCTGGTGCCGAGGCTTCCAATGTACTCGTGGGCGAAGTCGACTTCGTTGAGAAGCCCATGGTCGCCTTCATCCGCCTCAACGAAGGCAAGGTGTTATCGGAGATTACCGAAGTGCCCATCCCGACCCGTTTCGTCTTCCTACTGCTCGGGCCACCTACAACTGACAAGAAGAAGTACCGTGAAATCGGTCGTTGCATGGCAACCCTTATGACAGACGATGTAAGTTATCAACGAATGCAGTTTTTCTTTTAAGGCGGCGGCGCGCGTCGCAAAACGAGCGGTTACACCCTCCAGGGAAAATTTCTGTTGCCAAATTTTTAAGTTTTAAAGACTTGTCTGAAGATCACAGAAACTAAAAATGCATTTTTTGTTTATTTAAAAATTGTTTGAGACCTCTTTCGGCAAATTGGAAGATCTGAAGACCCCTTTGTGATTTTTTTTTAGCAATGTTGAATTATTTTTGCTGACTTACGAAATTTTTTCAGAAATCCCCAATTATCTGTTTACGATGACAACGGGTTACCAATTCATTGCTATGTGCTCAGTTATTCAGTCCAATCAAAGTCCATTTCTTAGTCGAATTATAGTTTACGTTCTGCTAATATCTGTAGTAGATTTGAAGTTATCAAATGAATCACCAGTACATGAATTGTCTATGTAACGTCTATCTTTTTTATCTCACAGGTCTTCCACGAAGTGGCCTACAAAGCAAGAGACAGGGAAGATCTGCTAGCTGGTCTGGATGAGTTCTTAGAACAGGTCACTGTACTTCCTCCAGGTTAGTAAAACATCATAGCTTTACCTAACTCTACAAACTTTAAGTTCAAGTTATAGTCAATTTCTTTCCCCGATTTGAATAAAATCACAAACACACAAACTGACATATGGACAAGCCTGTAAACAGAAACTATTAATTAGATAATGAGATGCAATACAATTCAAATTGTGGTGGGTAAACAGAGGTCAATTAGCCGGTCGAAGGTCAATCTTTTTTTTTGTAAAGCAATCACCAATATATAAGTATATTGCTTTGTATGTTTTTTAATCAAAATGTCAGTTTTCAGGAATATTTAGTCATTTTGTTGTAAATCTGATTATTTCAAAAAACCTCATAGTACCGTACACAATTCTTTCTGTTTACAACATAAACAACCACTCAAGGATACACTTCTAGGTGTTTCTTTCATAAAGCAATCGCGTGACTATCTTTGAAACCGAAATGATTTATTTGCAAACAGGTACCTGGGATCCTAACATCCGTATCGAGCCTCCCAAGCAGACACTATCCTCTGAAATGAGGAGACAATCTCAGCACTTCACCCATCCAATCGACATCATCAAGGAAGAAGAAGAAGACAAGGTCGAGCTAGCAAGAACAGGAAGGTAACAAACATAAAATAAAACCTTGAAACAGACATGGGGCTTCTCGCATGAAAAAAAGTTCATTAAACGTAGTTCATTGCTCCTCAAATCGCACGCCCTAAATACGCGGTCCTGAGTGGTAGAAAATCAAGTTGCGTTTGGGTATTGAGTTGCGTTTAAATGCAAAGTTCATTAAACGTGATCCATTGCTCATCTCATGGAACGCACGCCCTAAATACGCGATCCTGATTGGCGGAAACTCAAGTTGCGTTTGGGTATTGAGTTGCGTTTAAATGCAAAGTTCATTAAACGTGATCCATTGCTCATCTCATGGAACGCACGTCCTAAATACGCGATCCTGATTGGCGGAAACTCAAGTTGCGTTTGGGTGTTAAGTCGCGTATAAATGCAATTCTGCATGAGGCTCATGTACTCCAAATCACGCGTGTCAACCCCAACCAAAACAACGACTGCCGTCGAAGTTTTCCGAAGACGAGTACACTAGATCAACCCCCTCGACTAATTCCTCTCCGAAAATCAAATACATTTTCAAAAACTTTATGTTATTCGTCGTCCAGCGTAATACTACTACTACTACTAATAATAGCCTAATAGTCCACTCCAAATTGTATTAAACCGAAACGGAAATTCTTTTTGCCCGATTGATCGTGAGCCCGGCAGCCACTGAGCAGCGCCAGATCGACGTTGCTCTATCCCTTATTGTTGAACGCCAAACAAGGTAGCAGCAACTCCCATCTTTTAACGTCTTTTGGTATGAGGCGGCCGAGGTTCGAACCCACGACCTCCCGGTTGTGAGGCGGACGCTCTACTGACTGAGCCAACACATCCCATGGACCTAATGATTTAACCCTCACTAATCTTTCCAATTTGATTCCTCCAGACTATTCGGTGGTCTCATCAACGACATCAAGAAGAAAGCACCCTTCTACTGGAGCGAATATTACCACGCCCTCAACATACAATGTTTGGCCTCCTTCGTCTTCATGTACATCGCCTGCATCACTCCCATCATCACCTTTGGTGGGTTGCTAGGCGATGCCACCGAGGACTATATCGTGAGTATATAAGGGAAAGCCCAAGATTAATTTAAGTCCCAATATACTTTAAAGTCATTCCTCAGACTAAGGGCGGATTCATGTTTTTTGTTTTAAAAAGGGGGATAGGGCACGATATATTGAAAGAGTTCTGGCAAGCACACAATTAAAAGGTGAATATTGGGCCAGTTTTTGATAGGGGTAAATTTGTTATTTTCACACCAAGGGTTTGCTACGTTAGCTTAAAGAAGGGGGTACAGGTCGGTTGTGTCCTCTGATTCCGCCATTCTCAACACCATAGTATCATAAATAGTTGGAGCACTGGTATTATGGTGAAGACTGTCGACTCTGATATGAAAGGTTCCAGGTTCGATCCTTGCTGGGCGCTTACATCCTTTGACAAGGTTTTACTTACCCCAAAATGTCCATCTTGACCCAGAGGTAATGAATAATATAAATCATAACTAGCAATGCTGGGATTAAATATTGATACTGATGTGGCTGCCCTGGGTGAATAAGACCGAATTATTATTATCATTATTATCATGCTAACCCTTTATAGGCGGCCTTTGAGAGTTTGATTGGAGCGGCTATCTGTGGAGTTGTCTATCATATCTTCTCTGGTCAACCTCTCACGATTATTGGTAGTACGGGACCCATCCTCATCTTTGAAACCATCATGTACCAACTCTGCGGGTAAGTGCATGGGCAGCTTCATGATCAATTTGCGGGTTGGATTGCAATGAATACGATGTGGACCTCAGTAAACACCCGGTACTCACCCGGTTCTTGATGTAAAATAAACAAACAAATACCAACTTGCAGAGTATTTGTTGAGATGCATAACCAAAATCAAATACTTTCTTGATACAAGGTGTACTTGGAATTTCATAGCTATCATGCAATGTACGGTGCAACCTTTCTAAAATAAAGCTTTTGTTCAGTATAAATGAAGACGTAGAGGTGTCACGGTCTATATTTGAATATGAACCACACGATCGAGGCTAGTACCCATTTGAACAGACATTCATCTTTATATGCCACTCTCGACCTAGGTTAAGTAATTAGGTACCCGGTATGAAAAACCGAAGTAGTAATAGAAGCTCTTTGTATCCTTGAGAAATCGACGAGAATGAAACCATACTTGTCAGGAAATTACATTACGACGAAATATAAAATCTTGGTCGACTGACGGTGTGTATGGAGTCCGTTTGCCGACGTGAATGGAGTATTATAATTTGGTAAACATATCTAATGAGTGTACGGTTTATTCTCTCTAGATCGTTTGGGATTGATTACATCTCGTTCCGTGTTTGGATCGGGTTCTGGACCTGTGTTATCTGTATCGTGTTGGTTGCTACGGACGCTAGTGCCTTGGTTCGTTACTTCACCCGATTCACCGAAGAAGCCTTCTCTTCTCTCATATCCTTCATCTTCATTGTGGAGGCCTTTGAGAACCTGTTTGAGATCAGCCACGAGTACCCAATCAAGACGTGAGTTATTCAAAAAAAGATGCCAAAATTAAATTTATCCAAAACTAAAACATCAATAATGCTAAATATATTACTCATTGCGGATATAGTATCGAAAATAATATCGCTAGTGACATTCGTTTGTCTAAAACATCAAATTTGTCTTATAACATTTTTGTTTTGAATTTCCTTAATACGATTGGAAAAATTTGACGTTGTGAATTGCCATCAGAGCATCGTAATAGGCCTGCGCAGACTTGTGGTTATTTCTTTAAAAAATTAGATGAGATTCAAATTGCTGTCTAATATTGTGACTTCGGAACATTTTTTTCTTTTAATCCGTCGTTCTAGGTATTAAGTGAATGGTTCGCTTAATTATTTAGTATTTAATTACTGGGCATTGTGTTAGATTATGCTTACAAATTAAGCACCTCATGTATAGTGGAACAATGTAACATTAGATCATCTTACTTTGTCACGGCTTTCGAGATTTTTTTTTTCGGGACGAAAACTGTACAAACAATACTAATATCCTTAATAGAATGCTATTATAGATTGTGTTGATGTCAATAATAACACATTTTCTTTCCTTTTTTTCCAATCCCATTTTTTCTCGACTGTTGACAACCACAATCCACGTTCGTCTTCTATACGACCACCAATGTCAACTTCCTCCACCCCCTCGTCATTGCTCTCATCGCACGCAGTCATGTGAAACTGGGCGAGTACTTCGAAGAGCACTCCACGAACGTTACCGACATGTGCATGTGCGAGTACGAGAACGAGACCATCGATCCCGCCATGTACAACTGGACAGAAAAACTCACCGAGGAGGACTGCAAGACCGTCAACGGGACCCTTGTCGGAGACTGTGAAACCCATCACGAAGCTGTCCCGGATGTGTTCTTGTTCTCTTGCGCCCTCTTCTTTGGCACCTTCGTCCTCTCCTACGCCCTCAAGAACTTCCGCAACGCCAACTTCTTCCCCACCAAGGTAAAGATTGCCAAAGAATTGGCAAACGTTTGATAAGTTCTTGTTACAATATTGGAGACTAAATTTTTGGTTGGTTGAAACTATTTTCTTCTTAATATCCTCGACATTGTATCACTTGTGCAGTTTTTTTTTTTTACTTGAACCGTTTCCTTCAAAGTCTATTACAATAAGACGTCAGTTTGATTTCGTTACGTTGAAAAGCAAAACAATCTCGTCCTAAGGATTACAACATCAAAAGCCTAGATCTACCAAAACTATAAATATCATAAACTTCTTGTCCCACTCTTTGAGTTTTATATATTATTTCCCCCACTTTATTTTTCATAAGGTTTCAGCATGTCAACATTTTGGCCACACAACTTACTGAATAATAGAACTGTTCCTGCTCCTATGGCGTAAATGAAGATAACTGTAATTTGCAGTATCATTATAGGTATAACGCTAGCCCTAACCAAACCTAACCCATAACGTCACAGTAACGTCCATTTCGTCATTCCAGTATCCCCTCAACGTCGCAGTAACGTCGCAGTAACATCACATTTTTGACGGGTTTTCTCATGCACAGGTTCGCTACATCATCAGTGACTTTGGAGTCTTCATGGCTTTCCTGGCTATGACTGGAATTGATATCTGGGTCGGCATCCCCACCCCCAAGCTCACTGTACCAGATACATTCAGGGTATGTATCACCACTTCTTTTACCTATAGCACCAGGGTGGCATCAGGATTATGTAGGAAAAGGGGGGGGGGTACAATTCTGAAACGATAAAGATTGAAAGACAAAAGTGTGTACAAATTCTAGGGTGACACAATGATACGTTTAGGAGACACATTTCATTCTCTGTACTTACGGCATTCCTGGTTTGGTTTTTAAATGAAGCGCGGTAGTTCTACAGTCATGTAATGATCATTAGCGCGATACAGAAGAAGCCACATTGTTATCATTATAAGAACTGATATCGTTGTTATCTTCGTTAAATTGAGTACCAAATATGAACCTATTTATTGTTTTAGGTACATCATTAGTTATCTAACACTCTTTCATATAGTTTCATTTGCCCTTGCAATAAACGACCACGTTTTTTTTTACCCTAATGTTTTAAAGTTAGAAGTAATCTTATTCATGTCGGTTCTGTCTCACCATGCTTAGCCTACCCGCGCAGACCGTGGATGGGTCATCCCTCTCTTCAACAACCCATGGTGGACTTACTTCGCAGCCATCGTCCCGGCCCTTCTCTGTTCCATCCTCATCTTCATGGACCAACAGATCACTGCCGTCATCGTCAACCGTCGAGAGAACAAACTTAAGGTAATAACGACCAGGGTGTCATTCATGGATGATACGTTTAATTTGGAATTATGATACAGTCAATGATAAATGATGATGGTGATGATAAGAATATTGATGATGATGATGATGATAGTGATGATGATGGTAAACATAACAATTATGATGACTATGACGTTGCTGATGATGGTGATTGATAGATCAAGTTGAGGATATATTCATCAACACATACATTTGAGAAATAAGATGAATATCGCTAATTATTATCATGATTATGATGAAGATCTATGAAACTCACTCAGGATATTATCACGGTATCAAATAAATCAATGGTGTATCAAAGTAGAAATTTCCTCAATTAAATGACAACTTTTGATTCTCTTCCTGGAAAATACAGAAAGGATTCGGCTACCATCTCGATCTGCTCGTCATCGCCATCCTCCTCTTCGTCATGTCCGTGCTTGGTATGCCCTGGTTCGTCGCCGCTACCGTTCTCTCCATCAACCACGTCGACAGCTTGCGTGTCATGTCCGATACCACCATCCCCGGAGAACCCCCTAAGGTCGTAGGATGCAGGTACGATCACGTCCGGGTCAAGCGTTCTCTTCACTAAATGGGTGGTGCGGGATGATGCCGAAGAATTTCTGTCAAACAAACCGTTCTTTTAACAATTAGTTAAGATTTGGGTTTAAAAGAGTACGACTGTGCCTCCTTACATCGGTCGGGAGAGAAGGGGGGGGGGGGAGAGAGAGAGAGAGAAGGGAAGAGTGGGATATGGATGAATATAGAAAAAAAATGGATAAGGAGATATGAATAGGAAATACAATAACAAGAGAGAAGAAAGAAAGGGGACATTTTTTTTTGACATTTCATATCTTGTTTACATTTTGGGAATTATTCACTATTCATTATGTCAACGCGACTCTTCTATTTTCTTTTTGGTTTGATTCTCTAGGGAGCAGCGTATTACAGGTATCCTTGTGTTTGCCATGATCGGTATATCCAGTCTGCTGACTTCAGTTCTTAAGGTAAGGACCTTGGCTTTCACTTCACCATGTAAAACATGAACATATTGCAATAGAACAGGTTGAATTCGATCATAGTAAGGCAAGGTATTTTACCGACATCGCTACCATTTGTATATGTTCAATTGCGCGACCCGTTGGTAAAGGCTTAAATAAAGTGATTTCCGGCTCCAGTACCCAAACATCGTCACGCGCGCGTCTTGTAGTTGGTGATGCATTGTGGGACATGGCTGTCGACACATCTGGACATTACGAGCAGCAGATGGCAGTCCACGTGAATCTAAAAACGTGTCAATAGAATATGTTGCCTTTAAGCCCTCTATATTAATTATATTCTATGTTGACAGTAATCTTTAAATATATAAGAGAGGATGATTTCAGACATTGCCGGAATGTAAGTGCAACATCTGCATGTAAATCAAACCATTACAGAATATTCTACTATATTGTATCTTTTAGCACAGGATTAACCTCTTTTCCGAATTAGCCCGAAAAAAGGGAGGGCTCAGTCTAATTATACATGATTTATAGTGACATAGATCTCGAACAATATCTCCTTAGTAGAATATGAAAAAATTTGTTGTAAATTTCTAAAAACTTATCATCTACCTTCATGTCTTTTTCCTCAGTTCATCCCCATGCCCGTACTCTTTGGTGTCTTCTTGTATATGGGTATCTCATCTCTGCGTGGCGTACAGGTATGTGTGTGGATTTCTCTTGCTATGGCGGGGACGAGGGAGGGGGGGGGGGTAATTCCCCCGTGACGTCATTAAACCATCGGGGAAGCTGATAAACAAGAGGCCATTTTACATAATCAACCAAAGTTGTTTGGAAGACACCGTTTATGGACAGTTTTGAACAGTGAATTCAATTTAAATAACAAACAAAACAAACAAACTTTAAAACTTAAACAAATTAAAAATTTGAAACTAGTTTTCAAACTTTAAACTAATTTTGTTAACTTTTAAACATTTTTTTAACTTTTAAACTAATTTTTAAACTTTTAAACTAAAAAACTGATTTTTCTTTTCTTCAGTTCGTGGACCGTATGATGTTGTACCTGATCCCAGCCAAACATCAGCCTGACTATGTCTATCTGCGTCATGTCAAGCTATGGAGGGTCCATCTCTTCACACTGGTCCAACTCACCTGCCTGGTCCTGCTCTGGCTCATCAAGACATCCAAGGCTTCCATCGTCTTCCCTCTCATGGTAGGTCCTTACCGTCACCATCGTCGAACTCGAACACGGTCAATAATATTGAATGAATTGCCAATCAGGAGTTTCATATGATTGCGCATGCGATAACTCGATCCTGGGCGAGACCAGAAGCTTTCGCATATTTCATAAGAAGTCCGCGAGTGGTCAATTTATGTTCCATGACGCAAAATTATATGATTTCACATTATAATTAAAATGTCTATTACCCGAACTTATTTGTTGTGGCATAGTTAGGCCTAAGGGGTACAGGGGCACTTGCTCCACCCGAATGGAATGGCGAACAAAGGAAAAGGAGATGACTGTGTGAAAAAGATCTTAAGAAAGAAAATTTAAGAACCAGGGAGAATTCAACGTGAATTTAATTCCCTTCATTCAAATTGTCTTGTTCTGTCACATTTCATCCACTAAATTAGACCGCCCATGCTATATCTGTAAGACAGTATTTTATACCGTTATAACCATCACCTACCTCTTTCTCCCTACCCCAGGTATTGGCTGTTGTGTTTGTTCGTAAACTCCTGGAATTCGTCTTCACTCAATACGAACTGAATGTACTTGATGACGTCATCCCTGAGAGTCAGAAGCGCGCCAAGGATGATGAGGAAAAACATCTCGAGGATCAACGCGAGCAGGTAAGTCACGTGACCCATCTCTTTAAATCGTCGTCTTATTCCTCTTCCTCCTAACTGCTCCTCTTCTTATTATTATTATTCTGCTTCTCCCCATTCTTCTTATTCTTCTCCTTCTCCTTTTTCTTCTTCTTCTTCTTCTTCTTCTTCTTCTTCTTCTTCTTCTTCTTCTTATCTTTCTGCTTCTTCTCATTATTCCTATACCTTCATTAGATTTTTTTCCTGCTGTCTTCTTTCTCTTCATCTTCAAGTGAAAGTATCAATTGCTTTAAAACAGGAGGTTTACTTGAGATTATTTGGTCAGTGAAATTAGCATAAAAGGCAATTTTCCCCGTCTATTTACTACTTTACGGGGCAAGTACTGAACTTTAAATCAATTTAATAAGTACCCGATAAAGAGCTTGAAGAATCGAGGTTATATCTGATTGAATATTGCTGTTATTTATTCAAAGACACATGACCATTTATTTTCTTTAAATAATTCGGAGAAGGAATTTCATATATCATAGTCGAAATGCATAACGAGTTGGCCTTAGTTTACACAGTGCCTCAACAAATTATAGTTTCAGCTAATTTTATAGAGTTTTTATTGTTCTATCCCTTCGAAAAGGAGTCATTCTGTTCTGATTATAAAGGTTTAATCAAAGGCCATTGGAAAAATCTCGACAAATACAATGTCATGCAGTAAGTACGAATTTGTGAATCATCTTCCGGTTTGTATTCCGGTCGACCTAACTGTTCCCAAGTTTTATAGTCTTACACATTGGTTATCAATCATCAGTGAGTTACGTGTTGAATGTCAGGAATCTTTGGAGTCCGCTTAATGTTTTCATTTTTCGTCTTAACTGTTTATTTTGTGTGGAATACTAAACCTATTAATCGTTCTAACATCGTCGTTGGGGTCGTATGTATGTGGTTTATTTTTAATCACAGGTGACCCGTGCTCGTACCGGTACACTCACCATCGCTCTGGAGAGCGGTCAGACACTGACCGTGCCCGCGGAGAAGGTCACGTACAACCCACGTGACTCGGAACCGAACTCTGACTTTGAGACGGCCAAGGCACTCAGCAAGCTCAGCGGATCACCGCTACCAACGGTTCGCAACCGGTATGCACTCATAGAAGAACGGGAAGAAAAGCTGTAATATCTTCCTTGCATGCTCAGATGAGAAACCTGCATGACCCGGATGTCTTCATCCCGCATGAACTTTAACCTATAGTTTCGTCATCCATCCATCCATTCATCCTTGAAATAAAAAACCATGACTAAATCATTAACAAGTCTATGACTTGAACAACCAGTGAATTATTGTACTGATTGTTTTGTGTTTGTTTTTGTTTGGTTTGTGATGTACACACTATACACAGAATGCACGAAATATGAGTTGTATTGAACTAATACTGATATCACACATTATGTGCTAATGACTGAAATATATGCACTAAAATCTTTCGAACTGAAAATACTGAAATACTGCATGTTTAACCTTATCGTATTGTGCATTTACATACGCATTTCGATTAAGTGGCACCATTTACTTCGATGTTTGCTCATATAGTAGAAAATACTTTCATCAATATTTGTTGTTATACTATTATTATTTTCTGCGAATCTGAAGCAATTGTGCGGCATGTGCATGCATTAGTTGAAGACCGTTGTTTGAATAAGGCATATTAACAAAAAACCGACCCCAAAATCTTGAAATCTAGGCTTCGAAATGAGAGATATTAATATTTTAATTCTTGTAAAGAAAGTGCGTGGAATGACACCTACCTACGTTAACAAATAGATCATGTCTAAAGATTGATTGTAGATGTGGATAACACATAATGCACGGTGGAGGGACCATGTAAAAACGGAACTAGGCACTGATTTTGACACTTCTGTTTGCACCCAATTACATTTACAGTCGCGCGGCGTCTAAAACAATCAAGGATCCTGAAGCGAATCCGGGAGCGAACACCGAAGAAGGAATCGACCTCCCCAGTGGTACCGGTACCTCAAGTTTCGGTGTTCAGGCTGACATGGACGATACGCGATTTTAAAGAAAGAGAGACATAACAAAAATCCCTGCTGAAATGGAGGTGCTTTCAAGTTTGTTGTTGACTATTCTCTGGTGTTAACCTGAAATCCACGGTTTAAAAGATCGTGTTAGAATGTACTTCTGGATTCACATGTTGGCTTTGGTATTTGGTGTAATATAGATGCCCCAACACCCCCCCCCCCCCCCTCCCCACAAGAAAAGTAAAAACATAGGTTGATCTAACACCAAAGTTCTTGGTCTACATTTGGCTACATTTGATGATAACACCATCCAAAATTCTTTTCAATTTTCATCTCAATACCGACTAAATCCTAGCAATCTAGCAAGATGGCAGACTGTTGTGTGTTGTTCAATTTGATTTTACACCAGACTTCAGGAAAAAAACACCCTACTTGAAATCACCCTAAATATGATTACATTAATCATATCCTGATCAATGCGAGTTCTCCAGAAGTCGAAGGATAATAACGACTATCAAAGTCGATTGGATTTGAATTAGATTAATCAATAAATGGTATATTCTTTTCTTCCGGATTATCTCGTTGAAAAAAATAGCATATCAAGTGCAGTATCATGTGTTTCGTGATTTTGTATTCTTATTTGAATTCACAAATTAATTGAATTTCACACTATTTCGGCTTCCATGTTAATCAAATATTGTATTCATTTTAATTTCATTTCACTCGTGTGTGAAATCATATTTATCGCCACTTCGCTATATCAGAAAAAAAAGAAGCATTTATTGAATTTGGAAACGGTATTCATGTGGTTATACTACTATGGCGTTTAGTTTGTTTTAGATATTCGAAATGACATGAAATATGGTGTGTGCTTTGTGCGTAGATATCCGTTTTGTGAAATAATTATATTTGCCTTTCTCTCAATTCATATGACGTATAACGGATGAAATTTTAAATTTGTTAACGAGTCACTAACTTCTCTGCGCGATCTTCATGTTCATGTTTTTCTCGTGTAAATATTCACCAGCACAAAATAAAAATGTCAAGAACAAAATTTCACGCCGTGATACTATGCAAAAAGATGACATTGTATGTATAATGAAATTTAATGAATTCACGTGTGTATTGAGTCTTTCTTATGATTAGTCTTTCAAAGCAATTTAAAACAAATTCAATAATGAATGCAATGCTATATTTTTCTATTTCTATTTGATGATTTTGTGAGTTACGAAACATAAATGCCAATGTCTTTCTGAAGATTTGTTTTAGAATTGTCCATGATTAAAACATTCATTCCAATACACTACTTGAATACTTTAAATACATGTAACATTCATCTTCCATAGTGATTTTAAGGTGCTGAGTACAATAAATGTTTTATTTTGCAATATTTTGAATAAAATGTGCTGCAGTAAACCAGAATTGAATCATGAATTGATTTTCAACAAATAATGCACTTCAGAGCAGTTGCAATTGTAATTATAGAATGATAAAAGCGGAATAATTTAATTTGTATTAGATAGCTTTACCGTTTTTAATGATCATTAACGTTTTTAACTTATTTCTCTCATTAATCTTGTTGGCCCATACCCATTAATGTCATTATTTGCTTTTACTGTCGAAGTATATTTTCTATTTGCTCGGTGATATTATTTTAGTAGTATACCGTATGGTTTTAGCTGTCTTGAAATATTCGCTTTTTACCCATGTTTTCTATGTTTACCAATAATGTTTGCTTTATCGAGAAAATTACACTTCCAATAAGTGCCTTGTTTATGATTTTTGTAGATATTTTATCGAACGAAATCAAAATTCTTAAAAGTGAAATTGACCTCATGGTCCTAAAAGTAAAATTGAAATCATTAGAAATATATATTTGTTCTCTTATACGTAAATATGTATGTTGCATTGTATACATTTGAGATGATAGTATGGCTAAAAGTGGTATTCATGGAACTTTTTAGAGTAACTGATTGTTTGATGGTAAACCGATTTTAAGATGAAATAATATTTGGTCCTGCATCGCTCATTTTAAGGTTATGTATATGCACTGTTGATAAATGTATGTTTCTTTTTTTATTACTAAATGTATTTGAACGCTCAAAGATACCTTAATTTCTGTAATGAATATCGTGATGTTTGAGAGTGTGACCGTAAGCTAAATTAGTGTTAACATTAAAGTATTGGAAACGGTGAATGGAGATAAATATGTGAAGATTAAATGAAATAAAAAAACATTTTAAGAGATTATTTTACCTTTTTTTGGTACAAAATATTTGTATTATAGCAAAAAGCAAGCGATGGAATGTTGAGGGGTAGGTGTTACGCAGTAAATTGCTGGATGCGAATATCAGCAATTTTAAATGTGTTTAGTGACATTTCTTAACTTTTTTTTTTACTATTCTATAATTGTACACAGTCCACACCTCTCACGTTATAGTGAACAATTTGATGCATGTTGAAATAATGTAACATAATTCCGTTATTACAAAACTTTACGTTTTTCTGGCGCCGCAAAGGGGATATCAAGGTGGAGCTTTGAATTTGAGTGGTAAGTGGTATATGTTTGGCGCTTATGTCGTAAGCGGGCTTACAGTAAAAAGACAACCCCTGGTCTTCTTTGTATTCTTGTACGATTAGTGAGTCTTTATTTTTACAGCAATTAAAGAGGCATTGATAAAACAAAATAATGAGCGAACGATTTCATGTACTTTGTTTGTGGCGGGTCCTGTTTGTTCTAAGAGACAGAGAAAGTCACATAAAAAAGGAAATAGAGGGAGGGAGAGAGCGAGAGAAAGGGCGAGAGGAGGAAAGATAGAGAGAGAGAGAGAGAGAGAGAGAGAGAAAAGTGATAGGCACAATGTGTGTGTGTGTGTGTGTGTGTGTGTGTGTTTGCGCGTGAGAGAGAGAGGGGGAGAATGAGATCGCCAAAAGGGAATGGAGGGGAAAATAAAAATATAGGAACAGATGGCAGTGGTTATAGCCCCTCATACCCCCTTCTTTCGCCCCCTCCTCTCTCTCCCTCTTTCTCTCTCTCTCCTTCTCTCTCTCTTCCACTCGATGTATTTGTCTATGGTATATGGGGTGCCCCATCTCAGTGGTACACCACTGTGGAAAACAAATAAGTTTGCTTCCAGAAAACTGTAACAGATGCAAGCTCAAATTAAATACAAATTGTAAACCACGAATTTATACAAAAACTGCCAACATAGGCTTTTAATACAAAATACAAAAAAGAGATCAATTCCTAATCCACACAATATCCGCCATTTGCTGTTTTATTAATTGTGCACCATTGAAAATAGCAAGAAGAAATAGGCCTATTATGGTAAGTCGTGGACAGACAACCCCGATGACATATTTCATAAAGAATTCTACCATTGCGCCCAACGAAATACAAAATATAAAGGCTACATTAAACAAAAAGATAAAATATCAAATAGTCCTCATGCATAATTCACGTCATTAAGAGCCAACAGATAATATGAATTTCCATAGGCCGCTTCCAAAAGCGTATAATTCCAACAAGTTATACAATAATATTAAGGTGGTCTCAAAAGGGATTGTTAATATTGCGTTATTGCATTGATGCAAACATACACACAAAATTAGAAATTCAAAAATATACGTTATAAAATACGGACATAATGATTAAAACATTAACGAGTGAATCTATCAATCAGGGTTTAAAAAAAACATTTAGTACCTGTGGACGGGACAGTTAAAATCGACAGTTTGATGGAATGGTAACAAGATAAGACAAATGGAGAGAAGGTGGAAAATACCATAGACGAAAAGTAACATGGAACAATGAGACAAGCATAATGTACATTATAACTATACAGACATTTATATCGTGGTGAAATTAACGCACTCATATTTTCTAGGACAAAATCGGTTCCCTTTATTTAGAGTACTTGAAAGACAAAGTTTCTGACACATTCAATATGTTTTTCCCAAACTCTTTTAAATGTGTGATTAATCATAAATTCTAAAGATAATTTTTGCATGACGTCATACAAATTAAAACAGGACTTACCATTTGGGGGCGTATCAGTGACATATTATGTAGCTATGGGGATACAGAGGCATACGTGCTCAATTCAAAATAGAATTGACAATTGACACATGCTTATGCCACTGCTATACCAAGCGCTGATCAGTCATACGAAGTAAACAACAACAAAACAAAATAAAACAAAACAAAGCAAAGATGACGAAGAGACAGCCCAGCTCATGACAAGCTTAATTTTGTTGAATCATTCTATAATTGTTTCACCCTCTCCTCCCCCATTCTGCCTCAAAATCATCACTAAGCATATACCTCGTGTTTTTAGTTTTGCTATTGACACAAATAAAATTGTCGTAGAATCTAACGAATTGGCCATGCATTTGAAAATTACTCCATAGAGAGTGTATGATGATATGAAAGTAAGAAAATACATATTGAAAGAAAGATTATGAAATTACTGAAAAACGAACAAAAAAACACTGGGTAATCGAGATATTAGAAAATGGAATCCGTTGTATGCATATCGGTGCTGGTGGTTTACGGAACATGTCATATTGCTGCAAGTTTTCGTAAAAAATAAGCAAAAAAGCAATGTTTACTGGTCCAAACAACCATTCCATTGCATGATAAATAATTCAAAATGACCTGGAATGTTTAAGATTACCTAAAGACGAAATCCATGCTCACTTTTCGCAAACTCTAGTAGAAAAGGCTGATCATTTCTTTACCCGGAGTTCTTATTATATTTTATTTTTATCGTCATTATTTGTACCTGAGTTTGTTTGCCAGATATAATCAGAACCCGAGGTGAAACTGATGATGATGATAATAATCATCAATCTCGATTTAAGCCCCTCTAAAGTGTTGGGAGCTCCACAAATTTCACTTAAATTGTATCTTAATGTGAAAAAGGATGTCATTTAAAACACATTTCCGCAAGGATTTTCAAAACAAATGTGCCTCAAGTCGAATATTGATGAAAGAATACAAAATTTAGGTTTTCTGCGTACAAATTATGTATTCTTTTATCAAGATTCGTCTTCTATTTGCAGAAGTGTGTCTTAAATGACATCCTCTTTCACATTATGATACAATTTAAATGCAATTTTGCCATCAAACTTTTTGGCGAAATTGGGGTTCTCAACACTTTAGAGGGGCTTCAAGTACCATCGTCAACAGTAGCATGAGTACCGTGTATACAATCGACGTTGTCTGATTGTTGTAACGAGGGAGATTCAAATTTAATATGAAGAGATGTAAAGAACGTCATTATAAACATGATAAAATGGCGTGTTCATTTTTTGGGTGTAGTTTGGAAATCTTGGATTGTGACCACCTCCAAACAAGTATCCATATGTTTATTAGAATATCTAAATGTCTGAAATGTCTAAGACACAATACACTCTGCAAAAAGTTTGGTAAAGTTGACCCAATAACGGATAACATTTTACCCGGCTTATTTTAGTCATTGTATAATTTTTTTGTTGATTAAAGGCGTGGACTAATGTTTACATCCTGAAACCAAGGATAAACAACACTATTCATTTGATTTAGTTTATTCTTAGAACTTTAAAGATAAAGAAATATGAATTCTCATACACTAATGAACAAAGAGGAATCATTAATTTTGATGACATCACCCTCTTATCAATGTTTGTGACCGATTGCCGAATGGCGATTTCTAATTTACATACTGTACATACTGTCTCTATAAATTTACATAAATCTCAATAAACTATCATTTAAAACAAATACATGCAGAATTTAAAAAAAAATAATGTCAGCGTTTGTTAACATTTCGTAATTTCTCGTTCTTTTTTTCTTCATTTCGTTAACAATCACTAATTACTTTTAAACATGATTTTCTGTTTTCATTCGAGGCAAGCAAACTAGGATTTCGCAAAAAACCATCCCAATCTTTATAGGGTAGTAGATATTGTATTCCAACCACTGAGAGACATAGCGAAAAAGGCTTGAAGCAGTATAACCACTATTGATGCGGCTACTACCGGGTTACCTTTGGCGTATGGCCCACAGTATGGACTATTTGCAAACCGAGCACACTGAAGCCACATGATTTCCCTAGTAAAATAAAGAACAAGAAATATGACAGAAAATTGCGGTAGTAATTGGAAGTCTGTAAAAGAAAGAAAATTATTGGAAAAATATAATGTAATGTGAGTGAGAGAGAGAAAGAGAGAGATAGAAAGAGAGAGAGAGAGAGAGAGAGAGAGAGAGAGAGAGAATGAGTGAAAATAAACATGCATGCATTCAACTAATAATTTCATTTTATTCACATGTGATTGCCTCTGTTACAATACATTGTTAACACAATCATGCGCACTTTCAAGAAATCCCATGTAATAAGGGAGTTTACAGATAGCACATGGTACAAATGACCCCAAATATCCACAGATCTTTTACACATGGAGAAGTTCCACTTTGAGCATCTTAGAATAATAACTACCAAAGTCCTAGATGGGCTTCATAAATACCTTTTGTTTGCCCTCTTTTAAAGAATACCTCCACCTGCGTATCTTAGAATGTACCGTTGGTGCATAAATGAATAATGTTACATACCTTTCATGAGCGCATATCCAGTATTCATCTCTGGTGGGTTTTACCTTTTTGGTACAAATGACCTTTATCTGCCCATGCGCAGATTGTATCTGTAAACTCCCTTATTTCAATACCACTACGTTGTTTATTCCATTGAAATCATATTCAGATTACGTAATCATCATCAGTATGGTGTTCGCACATATCAATCGGTGGTGGGCTATTGAAAGTGCTTGAGGCCGAGTTTCAGAAACTCTTTTGCGATCATGTTTAACAGGCTGGCTTACTAACATATTCAAAATGTGCACATTATGCATGTTTTTTAAAACGAAATTGGTTGTTCTTGCCAACCTGAAAGCTTGCCCGACACTTGCCCGACATAGCAACATGTAATGTTTGCAGACTGGATTCCAAGTATTGTTGTTCATTCACTAATACCATGATAATGGAATAACTCGTCACTAGGTCCCCATAAAAGAAACATCCATACATTTGAATATGTTAGTATACCCGTCTTATTGATATTTCCAGGATTTTAACTTACTTAGGGTTCTCCTCACATGTCACATTAAAATTCATGTTCATCAAGAAATTCTGCAAGTACAAAACGCTTCCATTGGTACACGTCTCTCGATACCTTGGATGATAAAAATCAAAATCAAAAATTGATTTAATCCTGAATCTAAGCTATATAAACTCAAATAAATGTCAATGGTACAGCTTCTTGTAAAAGCCCTCATGTCCCTCACGCCGTGACGCTCCTGGGGCCGGTTTCTTAATGTTTAATCTATAACAAATGCTAAATTTGCCCTAACTTTATTACCCCGGTATCGTCGGGGTATTTAACCAGCAATATTATTGCAAAAGCCAGTTTGTGGATATCACTCAAAGAGAAAGACAGACAGACACGGAGAGAGAGAGTGGGAGATACAGACAGACAGACAGTTAGTCAGACAGACGGAGAGAGGCAGAGAGACAGACAAATACCTTTTGGTCTCGCTGGCCTTCAATCTGGGACTCCATACGTCCCCATGAAGCTTAGGTCGACCGGAGTTAAGTTCACTTTAGGTCATGTGAGGCGAATATGAATGGACCGTTATTCGGAAAATTTAGTAATTAATCCCGCAGAAAGAAAACAAAATGAAGAAAGAAAACAAATATTAATGTCCTTAATTTGTTCTTACATCTCATTCGGAATTGCAAGTTGGAAGTCTGGGATGAGATAGATGGCGACATTTGTGACCACGTCCTGGTTGAGATTAGGTGCTTCTATCGTGGCGAATATACTGAAAAATGACAAAACAACACAACAAATGAAAGGTAATACACAGTCTGGTATATTAGGTTTATTCGACTGAACAACGATTATCTCATTTTCTTAGCTTTGAAGATAATCAGACAGTCACTACTTGCTATATACTTTCCCCCTTTCACCCTTGGATAGTCCTGGCATAATGCTGGTACGTGTATTTTGATTTTCAAAAAATCCAAAATTCCATTCGCATGGTCGGGGGGGGGGGGGTAGCGTATTCCCCCCCCCCCCCACCTTTAATCTATTGATGGGAAAATTACAACATTTCCTGGCAACTACATGTTTCATGCCAAAAAAACTTTCTGCTCAGTGTTTGATTCGAAGAAAGGAAGAATATCAATTTTAATGGCAAAATGCCACGGCTGTCTTTTTGTTTTGACAAATGTGCTCTCAGCCAATCACATGCCATGATTTCAGTAGCTTATAACAGTAGCTTGTAACTTGTTATTGAATAGTTTTATGAAACGGGCCCCTGGGCCATGTTTCACCCTTGTATCCCCCCCCCCCCCCACCTTAAACCTATTGATAGGAACATTACAACATTTCCTGGCAACTACATGTTTCATGCCAAAAAAAACTTTTTGCTCAGTGTTTGATTCGCAGAAAAGAAGAATATCAATTTTAATGGCAAAATGTCACAGCTGTCTTTTTGTTTTGTGTGTGGTTAAAATTTACAATGCCCTTGGTTGTTAGTTAAATTTTGATGAGATTATTTGCCACGCCAACTATCAAAAATATCATCAAGGTGTTGCAATCGTCAAATGTTTAGGCATACAGACAGTGGTTAATCCGGAGGGGATGGCGGGGAGGGGGCACGGGAAATAATAAAACAAAAATCATAGACTGATTACCCCTCCCCCCCCCCCCCCCCATCGGACATGTGTCCCTCCCCACATCAGATAATCCTGGATCCGCCAGTGACAGAAATAGGGATCTATGTTAGTGGTTCTCTAAAAAAAAATAGGGACTTTTAGATTTGCACGTCGACAAAGTGGACTGCTACGTGTGACGTCCTTTTAAGGCAGTGTGACTTTCCCTTAAAATGAAGTCATACGTAGCAGTCCACTTTGTCGACGTGCAAATCTAAAAGTCCCCAATCGCCGCTGTGGGGTCGAGATAAACGAGTTACATGATAATTTCTTACCTGCCATTGTTGAAAGCCCCGCCAGCTCTTTGCGCATTCAGAACAACATAGACGTCACCAACAGCTTGCGTTGCTAGCTGTACCAGGAAAAAATATTATCATCGGAGCGTTTAGATTATATATGCATAAGAATTGTATTTATTCAAATACAATGATGGTATTCATAATCAAATCACGCTATGCGAGTTCGAGTCCAACAATGCACTATGGCATACTTCGATGACTGAATAGTTCAAAATCACTTCCCGTAAACCTTAGAATTAAAACGCACGTTATTATTAGCTTCAAAGGGTGAATTGTTGGGTGAATAGCTACATCGGTGGGTTACAAACATATTCCTACCAATATCTCATTTAATTGCTACAGTAAAAAAATTGCAACTATAATAGTAATAATAATAATATGGATATTTATATACCGCCGGTATCCGCCAGGCTCTGACGCTCATGGCGCTGTACATACATGTATTACTATCACAAAAATATAAATTTCTTAACTAAAATAAAGTAAACTAAAACAACACAAATTATTACGCTACATTGACATGATTAAATAGCACTGTTTAGAAAGAGATGGGTTTTTAGAGCAACTTTGAAGGCATGAAGGGTAGTTAAATTACGAATACTAAGTGGCAGCTTATTCCAAAGGGACGGACCGGAATGAGAAAATGCTCTATCCCCCAGGAACTGCGCGTCCTATAGTATAGTATTGGGTCAGAATAAGACTTTGGGCATTTTGATTCCTCATGGTTCTTACTCTTTCCCGACTGCTGTAACTTGCCATGTTTTCTCATTCTCTTCCGATTATTATTTCACACAATATAGGCCTAGACTATTTTCAGAAGCACGTAAATATTGCTATCATCTTGATATTATTATCTAGTTGAATTGCTCTCATATAATATCCATGTATTCTATGTCCTTAGACAATGTATGTGAATGCAGTATTGTTTCCAAAAGAAGTAAAGCTCATAGGGAATTCTACGAATTATTATGCGATTTATAAGCACTTTCCACCATCATCGTGATGTACTTCTTCGTCCTGAATCAACACAACTGACCATAAGTGATTGATTTCTACTCATATTTTTTTGTTTTGAACTTAACCCCTCACTTTTGAAATAAGTATAGTGCATTGAAATTGTCTCAGTTTTTTAGTTACATATCCGATTATTTTACTTTGGCATAGAGGCCGGCACAGTTTTATGTACATTAGGCGCTAACACTTTGTAAAGAAAATAATCTGATAATAATCTGGATGTAGCATCTCAAGGTTATTCAGAAATAGTGATTCTTTTTATCTGTAATAAATGTTGAATTGAATTGAATTGAATTGGATAAAGCTGACGGCGTGCACAAAACACAACTTTAGACATGCACTATAGTGTTTTAAAAGGGAGCAGGTGCCGATTGTGCCCGTGAATAGGGACTTTCGATTGACGGTGCCTTAAAAGGACGTCACATGACTGTAGCAGTCCACTATATCGACGTGCAAATCGAAAAGTCCCTATTGATCGAGGATGCACAGACTCACCATCTTCGAGGCGCTGTTCCAGAAGGCCGTCTTTGTATTATTGGGACAATTTAGGGATTTAAAAGGGGGCAGGGGCCAGTTGTGCCCCCATAAAGGTCGCGAGCGCCAAGACTCACCATCTTCGATGCCCTAGCCCAGAATGCCGCCTTGGTATTGTTGGGACACGTTTCACTTGTCCATGTCGGACAGACGGTGAAGTTGAGTCCGAGTCCCGTGCCATCACCGTCCGTAGCGCCACACCAGGACAGGTTACCTGCCATGTAACCCGGAAAGGTCTCCTCTAGCACACTGAACTCAGGGGTGACCTGAGCAACGTCCTGTGGTATGTTGTTGCCCATAACACCCGACCAAAACATCGTCTGTACAGAAAAACAATTAAAAGATTAAAGAAGGGAAAAAAGGGTAGACCACAGGATGATCATTGAAATTAGTTTCGTGCATGTTCTTCATTTTGCTCCATATAGGCCTAATCTTAAAGCTTGTAAAGTTGACTGAAAATACAGAAACACTAATGGCATAGACTAATGGAAAATGTGAATTTCATTTTTATTGCATTAAAAAAAAATATAAAGAAAGGGTAGAATGATAAAAAGGATAAGAAACTACTAACAAACGCTAAATCACAACAGAAACAGGTCGAGAAAATGAGAATGAGTGGGAGAGAAAGAGAGAGAGAGAGAGAGAGAGAGAGAGAGAGAAAGAATGGAGAGGGGCATAAATCTGTTTAATGATTAAGAATGTTAACATAATTCGATGATTATAGTACAGGACTTGCATGAAATTTAATGATAATTGGAACAGCGTTGAGAGGAATACTATGGCCTTCAGTTACATATCGAATGTTTTCTGAACTATAAGGATATTAAATAAGTGCCTCTTTAAACACCACCATCTACCATCAATTGAGTTTAAGTGCCGTCTTCAAATACATGCTGGTCCATATGCATGTATATTCAGTGGCATAGCTACAATGGCGCAGGAGAACACCCCCCCCCCCCCTCCATTCGAATGGTGAGAAAATAAAACGTAAAATAGAAAAATAGAGAAAGGGATAGATTGAAGGTGGAGATGGTCGGGGAAAAGAAGACGAAAGGACCCTATCCCGTACCCCCCGAATCAGTAGCCTTGTCAATTCCCGTTTCATTTTCCGACTAGATATCCACATGATGTCAGCTTGTACCCGGCCCCTCAATATCAGGGGCCCGTTTCATAAAACTTTTTATCTATAACAAATGCTTAATTTCTATGATAATTCTGCTCTCATCCAATCAGATGCCATGGTTCAGTAGCTTATAACAGTAGCTTGTAACTTGTTATTGATATCAAGTTTTGTGAAACAGGGCCCTGGATTCGCGCTACGTCACCGTATGTTTTATCGGAATATAAAGAGTTCGATTTTCAAACTATAAAAATATTAAAATTAAAATATATGATCCCTATAAGAATGATTGTAATACAAAATATGAAATAGAGTGGTGTATACCTCATCTTTAAACAAAATGTAGACATTTGCAAAAGAATGTGGTAAAATATCTACGTGTTATTAATGCTCGAATATTTTTGTTTGTATAATTCATTTCAATTCTTCTCTATTTCTCTCTCTCTATCTTTTTAAATGGCACATATGACCCCTGACCCGTGCCCCGTGTAGCTACGACACTGGTTGCTTTCATTCCAATTCGTCGTATTATAACCATTGCGACCAGTCTGCTAGCCTATATTTAATAACAGAGATACATATTAGTTCTTTCCAAGCAAGTAGAGCTAATAAATGGTTAGATCGAATTATAAAAGTGGGACAATTAAATTACACAGTTCCTCGTTGACTCTGTGCTTGAATATGGGACATGTGGTATGTAAGTGTACGTGTAGATTGTTTAATTCTCCTAGCCACAGATTCAAGATTTGAATCACTCTTCCTTCCTTTGTCCAATGACATCCTTGTTTATGTTTCCTGTTCTATGCATGTCTAAATCCTTGCACACATTTATTCTGATCTAATCAAGTGAATTATATAGTTTTAAAAGCCAATTGTTAGGTGAGTGCTACGAACGCATACGGTAAGTCAGATGTTAATAATTTTTTGTATCACTTTTTTTTTTAAATCGTGGGGTGGACGCGAAAGGGGCACGTGCCAAATTCGGCACTTAAAGGGGGTGGGAGCGAAATAATGGAAAATAAAGACAAGAAAATTAAATGGCCAAGAGAAAGAGAGTGCACGTCCGATCAGCCCCCCCCCCCCCCTCTGTGAAAACCCAAGTGGCATATATACCTCAGTAGTAGTAGTAGTAGTAGTAGTAGTAGTAGTATATTGGTAGTAGTAGTAGTAGTAGTGGTAGTAGTAGTAGTATAGTAGTAGTAGTAGTAGTAGTAGTAGTAGTAGTAGTAGTAGTAGTTCTCTAAGAATATGCCCCTATCCCCTTTGATGAAAACCTTTTTCTTTTGTTTATCAAATAAAAATAAGAATATTGTGCCTTCTTTTTTTACAAAATCCTAGATTTGCCCCTGTTCATTTTCTGTAAGTATCTTAAAGGTAATACAAAGTTTTGGGAAATTTTGAAAATTGGTTGGATAGTGAATCTTTACATTTTTTTTATATATTTGGATGCCCCTGTGGATGTATTATAAGTACTGAAAAAATTGGCCCCTAAAACACTTCTGTTTTCGAGAAAAATTGAATATAAAAATTTACCGGTGCTCCCGGTAAATGTTGATAAATTTCAAATAGCGACTATGGCCGTAAGGTAGATGCAACCATGAAAATCTCAGAATATGTAGTTGTGATATATAATTTTCAAACGGGAATAGCTAATCGGTCGATTTTAGTCAAGAAACATTGTTTCATAGCTGAATTGATATCTGGACCTTGAGAGGGAGCTATACAACATAAATAGTATATTATTCATAATTTCATAACTTTAGCCGGACTCGATTTCAACCGCGACAACGATCAATGAATATTGCATATGCTTCCAATGTGTTAATTTGAACCAAATTCATGACCCCATACCAAAACTTTGTAATACCTTTAATTAGGCATAAAACTTACCGTGCCACGAACTGTGGTGGGTGGGACCATGTTGAGGAATTCATCATATGCGTTGTCTGGGGTAGCACATGGATCCATATTGCGAATGCCTTTAAAAAACGACTCCACTGCTGCACGACACTTGACATTGCGACTATGACAGAGAGTGGGGGATATATGGGTAGAAAGGGGTTGAGAGAGAGGGAGAGGGAGGGGTGGAGAGGGGGAGAGGGTGAGGGGGTAGAGAGGGGGAGAGGGAGAGGGGGTGGAGAGGGGGAGAGGGAGAGGGGGTGGAGAGGGGAAGAGGGAGAGGGGTTGAGAGAGGGGGAGAGGGAGAGGGGGAGAGAGAGGGGGTAGAAAGGGGAAGAGAGAGGGGAGAGAGGGAGAGAGGGAGAGAGAGAGAGAGAGAGAGAAAAAGAGAGAGAGAAAGAGAGAAAGAAAGAGATGGAGAAAGATGGAGAAAGAGAGAGAGAGATAGAGGGAGGGAGAGAGAGAGAGAGAGAGAGAGAAAGAAAGAGAGAAAGAGAGAAAGAAAGAGATGGAGAAAGATGGAGAAAGAGAGAGAGAGATAGAGGGAGGGAGAGAGAGAGAGAGAGAGAGAGAGATAGAGGGAGGGAGAGGGAGAGAGGAGGGAGGGGAGGGAGGGGAGGGAGGGGAGGGAGGGGAGGGAGGGGAGGGAGGGAAGGATGGGAGTGATGAGACAGAGTGAAGGTGGAAAGGAAAAGGTGAGAGAAAACAGGTGAGCTAGAGTAGTCTACATGTACATCTAAAACGATGCGAAGAGAAAGGTTTCACCTTAGTAGGCCCATGGTTTCTCGAAAAATTTCCAAATGAGATGAACATTACTATACATAAAAATTAAAGATGAGAAAAGGCAGGAAGAAAAAGTAAACTTACTAGAACGGGAGACATGGCTCTCCCAGGAGGCACTTCCGGTATTCCTCGCATCTACCAGTTAAGATGTCAGTAATGTTGGACGTGGTCCCTGGTCCTGTGTTGATGTAGGCAACGGTCATCGCCAGCATTGGTGACAAGTAGATGAATATGGTGTAGATGCCCATTTCGAATTTTGGTTCGTTCCTAAACATAAACGATTACAGTGAAGTTACTCAAATATTCCTGCTACCATGGAATTGGAGTGTAACTATTATTGACTCAAGACTGAGAGTATTCCATCATAGTATTGTCAATAGTTCGATCTCTGCTAATAGTTGGTTAAAATGCATTGGAAAAAGGGATAGGAAAGAATACACATTTTTGTAAAACAGTGGATGTAACAATAATTATTCATTTATTCTTTTCGAGATCCAATGTCAATGCATTTAGGAGAAAAGTCAAAACATATTTTCTTTTATTAACTTTCCACGAAATACAACAATACAGGAAGTTATAGTTGATTATAATCCTTGATAATAAAACTACAAACGTTAATGTTATCATATTGTTGGGTAAACAATTTGTATTGCAGTGCAAAGTTTAATATGTCCGTCACACCTGACATTTCTTCTTTCTATCGGCGGTTAAGATATTATTATACAGCAGAAGAATATATATCTGAACGAAAAAAAAAATCATTATACTCATCTTAAAACTAAAGTCGAATAGAATATTAGAATATTTAAAGTAGCACATCATGCGTATTATATGTACGTAAGACTTCCTATCATAAAATGTCTCACAATATTCTTTGTTTATATTGTTATTGTGTTTGTTTTTTGGTCTTTTTAAACCTAGTCGTAACCATAATACTTTATTCAAGTTCAAACAGCATGAAATATAAGGAACCGCGATCTCCAGCTACTGACAAAACTCTTCCCATGTAGTGATAGAAAAGAGGTCTGAACTATTCGAGACTAGCTTGCATGGGTCAATCTTAAAATGAACTTGACTCAATACCACTAAACTCTAGAGTTTAATGCTCAATATACATACCGTTTTCTGTTTAACTGTGGCAGGGTTTATACTAGCGGACTATAGTGCCATTGCTGTTCAGAAGTACACCATAGAGCCTAGTTGTTCAAAGCAGTGTGTAACATCGCCGCTTATTTGTCATTTTATTAGGGTAGTCACGCGGGCAAAGATAATCAGCCTATTATTGCCTGTATAAGTAGTTTACAAATAATGGAAACCTACCTTGATACGGTTATGTACTTGTACTTACTACTGAGTGAAGATCAAGCACTGTCAATTTAACAAAATACTGTCACTCCTGCCTCAAAACCCCGGGTCAGTGAACAGATATCCAGTGTTTAGAAGTCCAGTAGGGACCTGCATCCAACCAATAATGAATTCAAAGTTGAAATCCGCGGCTATATACTAGTATGTCTGTGGTGAATGTATATAGAGTGAACTATATAATCTTCGTTCTGTGGGAGCTCTTCATTATAGATGCCTGGGTAATTCCGAGTCCAAGGTGCATGGGTAATGTTGGTTTGTTAGTTCAGTCTAGCTTAGTGTTTCCTTATTGCACTTCAGATTCATATTGCACAATGAACTGGAAATGGCTTTACAATAACACTTAATTGTTACACTATTCATTGTTTTAAAGGCCCACTGCACTACTTGTAGCTACTTGCGCCCTCTATATTACAAACCATGCCTAATCGGTGACCATTGGTCCCCCATGATCCTCTTTTTCTTATGTTAACTTAGAGCTGAGTTGATGAGATAACCACCTGTCCAGTGACCTTGCAGGGCAGTCTAATCCCTCCTGTAAACTATGGCAGATACGCTTTAATCACAGCAGGCGACCGAAAGAGAGAGAGGGAGAGAGAGAGAGAGAGAGAGAGAGCGAAAGAGAGAGAGAGAGAAAGAGAGAGAGAGAAAGAAAGAGAGAGAGAGAGCTAATGAGTGATCGGCAGAGAAAGAAAGAGAGAGATAGATAGAAGAGAGATAGAGAGAGAGAGATAGAAAGAATCGAGAGGGAAAGGGAGAGAGAGAAGGGGAAAAGGAGAGAGACAGACAGACAGAGGGAGAGATAGAGAGACAGAGAGAGGGGGGGGGGAAGAGGGTGGGACGAGTGAGACAGCGGGGGAATGTTAGATAATAAAATTTATGTTAGGAAAATATTTTGAGTATTTGAAGTACACAAGGAATTGAGTAATTGGTCATACTCCACAATTGCAACACACACCGAAACCATGCAAATTGCCATTGGGAGACTTTCCATATCGAACTTTCTACAGTTTCAAGGTTTATGAGATTTATGCACATTGCAACATGAACATGAAATAGCTTTACAATAACTGTCGTATTATCGTATATTACACTTATGTATTAAAGGTAATGCAAAGTTTTGGGAAATTATGAAAATTGGATGGATAGTAATTCTTTACAATTTTAATATATTTGGATGCCCCTGTGGATGAAATATAAGCACTACAAAATTTAGCCCCTAAACACTTCTGCTTTCGAGAAATAAAATAATGAAAAATTTACCCGTACTCCCGGTAAATTTCAATTATTTCAAACAGCGCGTAAGGCCATTCCACGGTAGTTGCGACCATGAAAATATCAGGATATGCAGTTCTGATATATAATTTCCAAACGGGAATAGCAAATCGGTCGATTGTAATCAAGAAACATTGTTTTAAGGCTAAAGTAATATGTGTCTTGAGAGAGCGCTATACAACATAAAAAGTTTAGTATTTACAATTGCAAAAGTTTTGAAATGAAAGAGGGAGCATATTATTTAAATACTTAACCCTAAAAAGGCCGGGCTATTTGAGGTCTTAGTATGGCCGGGGGGGGGGGGGGCATTAAATAAGGTAAAATCATTGAATTATACAGTAAGATTAAAATATGTTCTGGAAAGAAGTGGCGCAGTTTGCTGATGACACCAATATTCCTTGATATGTTTTTAGATATAGTAGATTTATGTTCGACCCATGATAAATGTTGATCGATAACAACTCCTATGAAATTTGTGGATTAGACACGTTTTATGATTACATTATTCATACTAATATAAAGATTGGTCAATACATTTTCTGTTATTGTATTTTGCTTGCGCTGAAAGTATATAAAGCTAGATTTGGAAATGTTAAGAGATAACATATTACAATAAAACCACTGTGAAACATGGCATAATTCCTCATTAAGAAATTTACATAAATCATAGAAATTGTCATGGCTATAAAGGATATTGGTGTGATCAGCAAAAAAAAAATGAATTTCAATTTATCAGAGCAATTAATCAAATCATTTATATACAGTATAAAGTAAAGGGGCCAGGATTTAACCCTGTGGTACGCCACACTTTACTCTCATTGGATCTGATAAAACGTCGCTGTAAAAAGTTATTTAAGTTCGATTTTTTAGTAGTTTTCAAACCATAAGGATACTGTGCCTCTAATATCATATACCTTCAATTGTTCTAACATAATTTCATGGTTGATCGAATCAAATGCTTTACTCAAATCTAAAAACACCCCCACGGAGTGTAATTTGTTATTCAAAGAAGATATCAGATAATTATGTAAACCAACAAGAGCCATTTCAGTGGATACATTCCTGGTAAAACCATACTGGCAAGAATTTAATATTACATGTTTTGTTAAAAAATGTTCTAAACGATTGTAAACAATTTTTTCTAAAAAATTTTGAGAAAAATGGTAGTACTGATATTGGTCTACAATTTCCAATAACATGTGTATCATCCTTTTTATGTACTGGGGTTACTTTAGCAACTTTCATATCAGATGGCACAATACCAGTACATAAAGATAAATTAAAAATATGAACAAGAGGTTTTGAAATATATATTAATACCTTCTTTAAAACACATGGATTAAGATTATCAAAACCACAACTACTAGTACTCTTCAGCGATTCCACAATTTTTAAAAGTTCTGATTCATTTACATGAGTTAAAAGTAATGAAGCAACATTAGATTGAGGCAAGAATTTACTAAAATCATATTCATTACTTCTGGGGATGTTATTGCACATGTTAGGACCGATAATAATTTTTAAAAAATCATTAAAACAGTTTGCAATAATAAGAGGATCATGAATGTCTTGACCATTAATACTAAAATATAAAGGTAAAGATTTACTTGATTTATCAACAATTTCTTTTATCACTGACCCTGTTTGCTTTATATCACCTTTTGTTTTTTGGAATTTATGAGCAAAATAGTTACGCCGTGCTTTCTTTCTCAGCTTATTCACTCTATTACGAGCTTCGTGAAATTTAGTTTTATTTGTGTTTGATCTCACTTAACAATATCTTCTATACGGTTTATTTTTGCCTTCAATTAATTTTAATAATTCAATATTCAACCAAGGTTTTTTACATTTCTTTTAATTTTTTTTTTGTAATTAGTGTTAATTTTTTTTCATAATATAAGGTAAATTTGGTTTTAAATTTCTTGTAAGCAATTTCTGCATCGTTAGAAAAAATGACACTTATCCAATCTTCAGTCATCAAATCAAATTTCAAGTTATTCATGGTTTTATCATTAATCAGCCGCTTTTTTACATTCTGCACAGGCATACTAGATCCAGCATTATTCGTAATTTTAAAAATTGGTAAGTGATCCGTGACATTGTTGTAAAAAATCCCAGAAGTAATGACGGAATTGATATTATTGGTAAATCTATCAATGTTTCAATACGAGCAGAAAGACGAGTGGGCTTGTCAATTAATGGCAAGAGTTGTTACGAGTATAACAGTTGTAAAAAGTCAACACTATATTTATTATTAGATTTAAAAAAATCAATATTAAAGTCACCCATAATGTAAATTAGTTTATTTTCTGTATTAAGCTCCTGCAAACATGTGTCAAAGTCACTTATGAAACTATCGATTCCGCCCTTTGGTTGCCTGTAAAAAAATTCCAACAACATTATTTTTCCCTGATTGAACAATTATTTTAATAAAAAGAAATTCAATGCCATCAATATTTAAATCAATATTTTTTCTAATATTTAGATTGAGAGTATTTTAAACAAATAATGCTACTCCACCACCTTTGCCATCAATTCGATCAGAATGTTTAAACGAATATCCCTCTAAATTAAAAAGCATAGGCATTTAATTACTGTCAGATGAGCATATTTTGATACCTTATTATTTTGTGACACTGGCAGGACACAAACTGGTGTGGGGTCCAGGGGGCGGAGCCCCAAAAGCTCAGGGGTTTTATACATTAAATTATCGTCACATGAACATATTTTGATACCTTATTTGAGACACTGGCAGGTCACGAGTTGGGGTGGGGTCCAGGGGGCGGAGCCTCCGGAAGCTCAGGGGTTTTGGGCCATAAATTACGGTCAGATGAGCTTATTTTGATACCTTATTTGTGACACTGGCAGGACATAAATTGGTGTTGGGTCCAGGGGGCGGAGCCCAAAAAAAGCTCAGGGGGTTTTATACATTAAATTATCGTCAGATGAGCATATTTTATACCTTATTTGTGACACTGGCAGGTCACGAATTGGCGTTGGTTCCAGCGAGCGGAGCCCCCGGAAGCTCAGGGGTTTTAGGCATTTATTTACAGTCAGATGAACATATTTTGATACCTTATTTATGACACTGGCAGGCCACTAATTGGCGTCAGATGAGCATCCAGGTGCCTGACTTTGGGCCTTAGGTGAAATCCATTGGGGGGGGGGGGCAGAGTCCCCGGAAGCTTAGGGCTTTTAAGGCATTTAATCACGGTCAGATGAGCCATTTTTTAATTTTTTTTTTTTTTTTTTTTTTTTTTTGGGGGGGGGGGCACCGGAAATTTGGAAATTACGTCGTCAGATATTTCCTTCAGTGGCTGGGGGGGGGGGGGGGGAGGAACTTTTTGTTGTTGCCAGGGGGTCGGGTCCCCTGCCCACAACTGTAACTGTTCGATTTACATCTCTCAAGTGTCTGAGATGAACTGAACGCTGATGAAAAATGAGTACTGTACCATCAGCTGACGATAATATTTTGTGTAACCACTCAATTCACGAGTCCTCTTGGATTTCTGTTCGAACAGGTCGATCTGCTCGGGTCGAGATTGTGTAGAGATCGTGTGTACGTCTCTAGTTGGTCTAGTAGGGATCGCGTCGGGATTGCATGTAGATCGGAATGATCGAGAAGAGATCGAAGCTGTGGTCGACTATACGTCGTGCAGGAGTCGTGAATGGTCGAATGTGGGTCGTGAATGCTCGAATAGCGATCGGGAAGAGCTGCTGTTTAGGCATGGGGTCGGGATTGGTCGGGGAAAAATGGGTAATCGGGCTTGATTGGGCTTGATTTGGCTTGGTCGGGTTGGTTTGATCGGCAGTGGGAACCTACCATTATGGTAAGTCGTGGACAGACAACCCCGATGACTAATTTCATAAAGAATTCTACCATTGCGTCCAACGAAATACAAAATATAAAGGCTACTTTGAAAAAAAAAGGATAAAATATCAAATTTTACTCATGGCTCACATCATCAAGAGCAAAAAGATAATATAAATTTCCATAGGCCGCTTTCAAAAGCGTATAATTCCAAAAAGTTATAACATTAAGGTGGTCTCAGAAGGGATTTTTAATATTGCGTAATTGCATTGATGCAAACACACACAC